TATATGTCTATATTATTCTATTGCTATTGCTAAAATGTTTACCATAGGTGATTTCCAAGTGAAACAGCTTTATTGACAAGTCTTGGTATTTCTTTATAGGTTTCCATTCTCTTAAAAGATAAAGTGCAGAATTCCAATGGCCATTTTGTGCTGCCAACCTCAAGTTCAGTTCCTTGGGGGACAGAGATCCCTGGACTCATCAGGTGAATCCTTTGACTTGCCTTTTTCCTAAACTTTCCTTCACTGGATCAGGTGCTGATCACCAGTCCAAATGGATGTGGATCCCCAGCTTCATACTACAAGGTGTCTTTTGGGGATAACAGGTCTTTACAAGGTTGGGTTGATGAGTGAATTTTTTAGTCCCCAAACTTTCCTATCTATTGTACAAGAATGTCTTATATGTTAAAAGTTTGTCTCCCCCCCCCCTTTTAAGTTGTAAGCCGCCCTGAGTCCCCCCAGGGAAAAGGGCGGCATATAAATAAACTTTAAATCTAAAAAAAAAAAAATCTAAAGAAAAAAGGAAATGGTATTTACATTTTACAATGTTACAGACTTTATAACAATAAAGAAGATGAAATTCAGAGGATCGAGTTCAGCAGTGGAGGAAATTATGTTCTTCCGTATCGGGAAGGCTCTTTTGACCTTCATGGAGACAGAGTCATTAGACTGGGAACAAACATGTAAGTCATGGTTGGCAGCATTTCAGTTTGGGAGTTTCAGCAACTTTCCTCTATGGCTCTTATGTACCTAAATTAAATTAATCTCTAGATACAGCATCAGCCGGCCTGTAGAGACAGATGTATCAGGGGCCACCAAAAACTTGGCATCTCGTGTTAAGGTCAGTGTCTTTGATTTACCCTCAGAAACACAAAACAAGGATCTGTTTGCTTCCCATTTCATTTTGTTCATTTGTTTGTTTCAGGATTAATATCCTAAATCCCTGGGTTACTACACTGGAACAGACACTCTGTGTAGAAGCTATTTGTTCAGCGTATTCTGCAGAACTGTTTAAAGTTTGATTTCATGTTTCTTTCCTTCTGTTGGGATCTGACTATATCCATTGCAACTACTGTTAAAATGGATTCTGCTTTACTCCAGGGCTACTTACTAAATGAAAGGGGGGTGGGGGGAGAGTGGTATTTCAAGCCTACTGGTTTCCAGATAGGAGAAATTGGGAAACCAATAATTAGCACCAATAACATTTCACATTAGATCAGATTGTGTAACTTACGTGTTTCTTTCCATAACTCTTAGAAATTTTGTTGTCAATGCAGGAGAACACAGCTCCCAACCCTCTTGCTAAAGAAGAGCTGGATTTATTAGCCAGGCTGATGGGTGGCTTGGAGATCAAGAAGCCCCTAGTCAAAGAGGGTGGTTTTCATCTGAATCTTTTCACCACTGATGAGGAGGAAGAGTATGATACTTGGCTTTAAATGGTAGTAACAATGGTGGTGGGTCTTCCATATATCCAGTTACCCTTGGCCTTTGAAATATCAGGGGTCATTCTCCTGAGTATGTGAGTTAGTGATAAGAAGTCAATACATGGAGATTAATCAATTGTATTTATTCTGATCTCTTAAGACACGCTGCCCTGACTCATCCAGAGGAGTTATCCTATCAAGTTCTCAATATCCATGCAGACCAGGTAGACATTTGTTGCTGCATCTTATTATTTCTTTAAAAAAATGAGTAACACAGGTTTTCTTTTAACTGGACCAACTTCAATTTGCATATGTAAGCTTTTAAGTGACATATCCCTCTTAATGTTTTTGTTCCAGTTAATAAATATACAAAAACAAGATGATTTTTAGACAGAACACATTCATAAGAAATACTCTACTGTTATTTGCGGATTAGTCTGAACAAATATTTTCTGTGCAAAATAGTTAGAAGCTTCCATGGACCCATATGCAGACCAAAGCCAGTCCTGATTGGTTGTTCCTGTGACCAACATTCAACGAAATATAACATTGTTTCCAAACAAAATAAGTCATTATAACTCACAGTCATGGAGCGCCCCCACCTTCTCCATGGCTTTTAAGAAAAGTGGGAGAGGAAAAACTGAGGGAGGTCAGTCATGTAGCTAGGACTTCCAGAAGCTTGTTTTAATAATAAGGCAGATTAAAGGAAGGTAGCAGACCATGGCTCAAAATCCTATCAGATTAATAGGTCTGGAATAGATCATGAAAAACAACATATTAAAAGCACACACACAAATAATCCATTTCTGTGAAAAGGAAAATGAGAAGTGTTAAGAATCCATTATGGATGAATTGGAAAAGCACAAAGAAGACATAGAGGAAATGGAAGTAAAGACTCCTAAAACAATCAAGGAAATGGGGGTAGGAAGTGTAGCTCCAGATTGATAAAGACATAGAGCAGGGGTGTCAAACTTGATTTCATTGAGGGCTGCATCAGGGTTATGTTTGACCCTGGGGGAGCTGGGGTGGCCTGGCCAGCTCAGTGTCACTCATCAAGGCCCTGTTTTCGGCTACGATGGCCTCCTACAGCCCTCTGCCAGCAAAAATGGAACTCGGGAAGAATGCATGTGGCCCTCCTGAGCTCCATTTTCACTGGCAGAGGCACTGTGGGCCAGTCCTTTGCTCTTTCTTGGGTGGCCCCACAGGCCAGATCTAAGCACCCTGCAGGCTGGATCCGGCCCGCAAGCCTTGAGTTTGACACCCCTGACATAGAAAAAGATTGACCTTGTTTCCTAAACAAATCTTTAGTCTTCAGGAACTGACCAGCATTCATAGCAAGCCACAGCAATGCCAAAATATCCACATCCACATCCACACGTACATTCTGATGTCTGACATACTGTAAATACAGAAGAATTTATGTGATGTCATAACACATTCCTGACAAGTTGCATCCTGAGGTGCTGGAAGGAGGTAGCAGAAGACCAGTCCCTTAGGCTAAGAGATTGCTGTGGATATAATCAGTGGTGGGTTTCAAATAATTCCACCAGTTCGCTGAAAATATGAGTGCACATGTCAACTCAGCATCACTCCCACCCAGTCACATGACACCCCCCCAGCCACACCTACCCAGGTTTCATGGCTCTCGGTGTTTTCTGTGGGAAATGGGTCTTTCTCTCTCCCTCCACCCACCCCTCTCATGTCTGTTTTTCTCTTTCCTCTCCCTCTCTCTTCTTCTTTCCTTTCCTTTTTCTTTCTTCCTTCCTTTCTTCCTTTCCTTCCTTCAATAAGAATTCATATTAAATCTTACTGGCGATAAAGCGGCAAAACGGCAACATTTTTCCGCTCTTATTGCGTCCGCAGATAACTGCCCAGCTGCCCTCTTTAGGGTGACCTGCTCCTTACTTAATCAAGGAACTGGGGAAGACCTCTTGCAGGGTAAGGCTGAGGAATTTGCTCAGTATCTGCAGGATAAAATTGCTCAGATTCGGACAGGCTTGGACTCTGACTGGGTAGATTCGGGCGAGTCGACGGGGATGAATCTTGTGGAGTGTATCTGGGATGAGTTTGACCCTGTGACCCCCGAGGGCATG